GCATTCTTGGGCCACTTTTATCCAAATTGACGCTGATCGAAATTTTTGAACGAACGAAAATCATTTTAAAAAGCTCTTGTTAGTAATTTTTAACCTAAGCAGAAGACTACGATACACTGCTGCAATAGCTTTCACACTTTTTGATGTTTGGGGCATGAAGTTGGTGTAATACCTGGATACCTGGAGGTGCCATCTCTGACTCAGACGTGCAATGACCCTCCATCCTTCAAGGTCGCGAGCTGCCGTTGCACATTTTGTCCTTTCCAGGCCAGTCCAGGTTTTTGTGTTGTCCATCTTGGTTACTCCTTGTCTTCCCCTGGCTCTTCTGCCCCACATCCTTCTTTCAAGCACCCGATCTTTCACAACGGCCTCGTGTCGTTTCAAGTGGCCAAAGTATTGTATTTTCTTACATTTTGTTTTATTCAGCAGGGTTTGTCTTGTGTGGGGAATCTGACACACCTCATTGTTCGTCTTTTTTGCTTTCCTGCTTATTCTGGCCATTCTACGGGTACGTCACATTTCAAATGTAACTATTCTGGGGGTTTTCTTCCTTCGTCAAAGTCCAGGTCTCAGCGCCATATATGAATATGGAGAAGATGTAGCATTCCAGCATTTTCTTTCTTAAGGTGAAAGATAGTTGCCTGAATTTGAAAAGTGTGTGCATTTGGCTGAATCTCGTTTTTGCATTTATTTCTGTTCTTTATGCTTATTTCTTTTTCACTTCTTAAATCGTCTGTGACTGTTGCACCTAGATATTTAAATTGGAGTACTTGTTCGATTCTCTTCCCTTCAATTGTTACGTTTGTTGTTTTTTCAGTTGATTTTGATACGGCCATTGTTTTTGTTTTCTTGGCTTTCATGTCGAGGCCTGCCTTGCTGCTGTTCACTTTTACTACGTTCACAATTTTAGAAAGATTTTCACTCGTGTTTGCAAGCAGGACTGTATCATGTGCATGTCTCAGGCTATTGTGTGTGTCATATCCCTTTCAGCCAGGGTGGGCCCCAACAGTCGAGTCTTGGCACCCCGACCTAAAAATTATTCAAATTGTGTCGAAAGGGACGTGTAAAACCTTTACAACTACATTTACAGATATAAAATAATAAGGAAAATGTACATAAACCACAAACCTTCCTGAGTCTTGATCTCAAAGAATAGGTCGGATGAAACTCCAGACTTTACAGTGCAGCTCAGGGTCATACTTTCGTTCTCAAAATGAAATGGGTCGAGAGGGTGCACTACTGAAAGGTACACATCGAAACGACTTGAGTACTGCTGGTTTACCTTCAGGAAGTTGATAGGCGTTGATTGCCCAATAGATAACATGCTGAACAAGGGCTAGTTTAGTTTTAGTGAGAGTTTTACGGCACGTATAACACAATACGGATAATAATAATAATA